GTGAGTTGAGGCCTACACCTTACAACCATAAGGGCTTCAGGTCCCCAGAGCCGTTCAGATGAAGGTATTCGATGCCTGTTAATTGGGGATTCAGGGCGCAAGCCAGCATGGAACCCCACTTAGGGAAAACCTTAAACCCTAAACCCTTAAACCCTCCAGGGCCGAGAAAAAAATCTAAACCCACGTAAGCCCCCCCACGTTGGTGGGTTCCAGGTCAGTTTGCGAGAGTGTAAGTTGTGTTGAAGTTAGAGCCTGCCTTGGGAAGCCTAGACCCTGAAAAGGGTAAGGGGCTCAGGGGTTGAGGGTTTGGGGTTTAGGGTTAGGGTTTGGGGTTTATGGGTTTAGGATTCTAGGGGTTTAGGGGTTTAGGGTTTGGGGTTCGGGGTGTAGGGTGAAGGGTAAGGATACTAAAAGATCCGGTACAAACAGCAACAAAACCCGCGAGACCCTCGAATAAAGGTAAAGATACCCAAATATGAGGTGCAAAACCCTTTCGTACAGGTACATAGGTTACTCTGGGTTGTGTGCAGCGAGTGACGGCAGCGGAGCATCAACAAAAGGACGCATTTTAGGAAGGCGTGGAGGTTTGGGATTTAGTAGGGACAGGATGGTGAAGATCTGCTTTGTTTCGTGCCTCTTTGCTCTGACATTAAAACTATTTGAACCTGTCACCCCCCAGCACTTACCTTGAAAACGAAGGTAAGAGCCCCTAGACACTAAGCCTTCTTCAATTGGAAGGTCCCTGGCTGATCTGATACATCCCGAGTCGTGCTCTTGGCTGTTGGCTGGGATTGTTCATTGGTTTTGGGTTTAGCGGATTTGGAGCTAAACGGACTTTATTAGGTTCGTTTAGGAATTTCTGTTTGGGAATTGATGGCCTTGTCTTCTAGCCATTCGGGCAATTCAGATGTAGACCTCATTGAATTGCAGTCCTGATTTAGACAGGCTCCCAAAAAAGGGGCCTATTTCAGAAAACCCCTGAACCCTAACAAGCCTAGTCATAATGACTCAATGGTTCAATATAGAGCAGAGGCGAGCGCACCCAAATGATGCCCCGACGCTGGATCAGATGACTGAAAGCAAAAGGCAAAAACAAGATTCCGAAGGAACCCTAAGGGTCCAAGTACCTAATTATCATATACTTACCCAAAACCTGTACTATAATTCCTAATACCCAAACCCCAAATACCTAATTATTGGGCACATGGACCCTTACCCTTAGGCCCTGAGGCCTCATATTTGAAGGTCTCAGCAAAGACCCTCCATTTCAAGGTCTCTGGTTTCGGGGGCTCTTTTTGGAGGGGTTGATTCGGACATGTTGTTTCGGGGGCTCTTTTCTGTGGTGTTGATGCGGACATGTTGCTCTTGGAACTGCAGGTCTAGTCCCAATTTTGTCACAAGAGCGGCACTGAGCTTCCTAGCAGGCATCCCTGCTGTCCCAACATTCTGAATTCCATAATTGCTGTACACAATGCGTCATCGCAGCATGTAAATTTGAAATCATAGCAACCATTGCTAATTATTCATCAAGATGATTCACCGCAATCCCGCAAGCTATGTCCTGCCCTCTGGCTTGAAAGCGCTGCTGCGAGAGCAGCCTGTTCTACGCTTTGGCTGCTTGGCATGCTTCGGGTTGCGTAGCCTTGGCAAAAGCTTACAATGACAGGGATCAGGTGATCTGGGAGCCATTTCTGTGGCAAAATGGTTTTAGGGGACTAGGTTGGGGTGCAGCTTTTAACCCGTTACGCGCTAAACCTTAATCCTATATACGTATAACTAGGGGTGTTGGCTTGCAGACCAGCCACCTGATGTACCATTTTTGCAACAAAGTTTGCTCGAGGTTCTCTTGATGACACAACCGGGCTAGTCCTTGGATTGGAAATCAAGGCAGGGGTCAAACAATACCAAAAAAAGTTGGGCCGCTCAAAACAATACTTCAGAAACACTCATGAGCTAATATAAGGCTCTCTTGCCAAACTGCATGGCCGCCTCATCTCTGAAACAATGGTAATACTTGCAGGCGTATCGCTGGGTCATCATGTCGATGGCAAGATGATGAAAGACGTGATGTTTTGGTCGAATTTGCCACGCCATCCTTTCATGGTACATTGTAGCTGGCTACAACGCTCACAATAACGTAACTTACAGCATAGTGCGCAGGCTAGGTGCTCGTTGTTGTCGGCGGCCATCTTGGCAAGTCGCGAGTAAGCTCTGAGATGAAGAAGCGCTGCATCCAAAAGGCCGCTGGCCTCCTTGGAAACATGTGGTTGGGGGCGCATTGGGCTCTATATGGTTATTATTTTGGGGCCGTTTGGCTAATTTAAAAATATACTCCTTATTGACTTCATCCAGGTTCGGCTTCACTGAGATAGCGGCCGCAGGCCTCAAGCCTGCAGTACCACGCATGCAAAGCCCACGCAGCTTGAGCTGCAAGTTGCAAGCGATGACTGCCGTGCACTTGCGCAGCAGCAATCATTTCTTCCGCCAACCACGAAGTCAAAACTCGGCTGTTATAGGCCTTGCACGGAATTGACCGCTTCCCAAAAATAACGTTAGGGCCGTTAGGGTACATATAGCGCCTAGTAAGATTATTGCATATCTTGGGTCAGGGTGTTATAAGGCAGTTTGTGATTGAAAGCCGCTTTTGGGTAAGGGTTCCTAATCCCCAAACCCTCCACACCCGTGTCCTAATAAGTAACCGTGGAATAATTAATTAGGGTGTAGGGTTTAAATCCCAATTTAATCTGAGAAACAACTTGCCAGGCATGTTTATAAAACCAGGGCACTTTGCTTCTGAAGGTGCAAGACTCCTCCCCAGTAGCTACGTACATCCAGACCTTGAATGTCGGCTGAGAGCACTTGATCTTGTGGCGGTTGATGAAGGCCTTGAACTTTCGGAAGGCGTTCCTGTAACGTTCTGCTTGCGTATTGCCGGGGAACCACTGAATCTGCATGAGTTCATGAAAGCAGCCTCCGTTCAGGAACAATCCTGCTCCCAACTGTACACTGTGCATACTACACCACCTGATCATGCTGTAATGGAATCCTTTGACGTAAATCAAGGGACATCCGCGGGAACTCATGATGTGAGTTAGAAACTCAAGGTGTGACCGTGTGGTTTTTGCCCACCCAGGTTCCCTTGTGAAGTCCAGCATGCTGAATGCCGCGTCAGTGCGTGAAGCTAGGCAGCAATGACATATGTTGTTTGAGGTGAATGCAGCATTGCAAAGGCCCCACACCGTTTGGTGATGTTTCCAATCTCCCCGTACTTCTGTGAGACGGAACCGTATTCCTCCATACAGATCCTTTGCAGTACGCTGATCAAGACATGGTTGCCCATCCAGCCCTGTTTCAGGGCGTCGTCCACTGTACATAACGTTCAGGCTCCAAGCCACATAGGTCCAAATGGGTTCCCAGGACTTTTCACCTAGAGATCTGTCAGAGCGGATCGCACATAAAGGGAAGCGAGTGTCGAACACTGCGTTGGAATCATCAAAGAGCGGGTAGCCTTACAGCGTAGCGGGTTGGCTATGTAGAAAACACATACATCAAATACAAACTTTATAAGAAAGCTGAGCTTCAGTTGAGATAAGGTTCTCAAATACAAGATTGTGATCTTTTCTTTAGATGCAGTGTACTCGGCTTCATCAGCATACAAAGCAACGGGTTGGAAATGTTGCATCCTTGACAGCTCAGGATGTTCCTCTGGATTTCCGAGCATCCAGGGCACGCGGTGGTCACGGAGATGCTGCCAGTACTCGTGGGCCTTGGCCTCCCGAAATCGAATAAAGCCATTGTCCATCAGCCATTTTGTGAGTAGATGCGGAGGAACAATGCTAAGCTGTTCGATCTTCTCTTCTGTATTCGCACGGTCATGGGGCTTTGCCTTAATAGGGATCGGTATCCGTTCCATGGGCACTTCCTTAAATGTGGCTGCATGAATAAATAAGGCACCGGCTTTAGCAAACTACCCTAGTATATTAAAATGTTGCTGAATACAGGCGCTGGACTATTGCCGCCTGGCAACCCACGTAGAACCTGCCAACACTCGGAGATCCCGCCAAACATGGCCTGTGTGCGTGCCACCATTTCCGCAGGCAGCGATTTTTTTCACATCCAGCGGAGTCAGGGACCCCATTTCCTTGGCCATCAGCCAACCCAATAATGCCCCTAAACCCTAAACCCCCAAGAGTCTTTGTGGACCTCCTCTGGTTAGTACATATCCCCAATGCCTACACTTTATTGTGATTAGCTTTTGACCACTATATACTAATTAAACCCTCAACCCAAATGTAGGGAATAGAAGCTCCAATCATAAAGTCCTCAAACTTCTTACACCCGAAGCCCTCAACCGGAAATCCTCCAACCTAGCTATCCTCTCGAAGCCAGCATCAAGGTCAATAGCTTCAGCAAGATCTTGAGCAGCTAAGGAACTGAATTCCTTAGATGGTGTGATGAAGTACGCTGGCTGCGGCGTGCCTTTGGAGGACATGGGGCGTATTGCAGACTAGCAGCACCAGAACCAACACCCGAAAGTAGGCGTCTCTTGATGGTACCAGGCACACCTGCGTGGGCAAATTTAAGTAGACACCTGCTACGCACAGCGCGAACTGCTGCAAGGGTAAAGCCAATAATGCATGACTTGCTAGCAAACGGGGTACACGAGCTACACTTTGCTGCGGCGAGCGTCGTCGGCAGGATGATTTCTGATCCCGATGGTTCAAATTTCTAATCAAGCTGCGCTGCCACGCGGCACCCCACACTTGAGTATGGCATATTCCACGCCCAAGTGCACTCGAGTAATCCTATATTCTGACAGCAAGTTATTATAATTGAAGGGCTGATTAGCTCGAATGAGGTGCATAGATTGGAAAGGGCCGCCGCGATGGCAGTCCATGCAGCAGCTGCAAGAATCCCCCAGCTTTTCGCTGATCAATCCAGGTAGATACCTTCGTGAAAACCTACGGCATCATGATCAAAATTTTGCGCACTACATACACTCACTTCTTGCTCTTTCCTTTTGCCTTCGCCTTGGGCTTGCTGCTGTCACCCTGTCCATCCGTTGACGGGGCTGGCATCGCCTTCCGGATCACCTTCATCTTCGTGTCATACTGCTTCACAGCATCGATCAGGTCATCCATGCTAATTTTCTTCTTGTCGTCCGGGTCATTGCGGGCGATGCTCTCCTTCAGCTGGCCATAGGCAGACTTCAGCAGCTGAATCACCATTTCGGAATCACCTACGCAGGCCTCCACGAACTGCGCGCCCCTTACTAGTGACGTCATATCTAGGATTTAGGGTCTGGAGTTTGGTGTGTTGGGCTTCTATATAATTATAAGTATAATTATAGATTTCAAGGCTCAGGGCTTAGCATTCATCAGGGCTTATTGATCAGAATATAGGAAGGGGGCATTATGTACGATATGGCTCAGGGTTTAGGTTTTTGGGGGATTTGGGCCATTCTTTGGGGTAGCTTTGGAGGGAAGACTTAAAATCAATCTGAGGGGTTTCAATCTACAGGGCCTCAGGCGCTTATAAGGGAAATCGTGTAGGTAAACTCGAATGAAAGCAGTTACCAAATCCCAGTCCAATAGCATACCTGATGAAATCAACTTGTTCTTCAACCCATCAGCTTCGGTGATCTTCACCGTTGCCGATTTCAGAACCACCCAAGACTCCTGCGATACTGTCTTCTTCTTGGGCTCACGGGGCTCTCGCGGTCTGGGCTCGGGTGGCGCAGGATCTGAGGAGCTGCTAGAGCCCATGATGTGCCGCCTGAGCTGCTATATCAGGGCATCATTGTGTCTTATGTGGGTTGAGGGATGCGCGGGCAGCTTAGGAGGTCAACTTTGCAGAAAAGGCGTTCATGATGGTAAATTTATGTTTGTTCGAGGCAGGAAGTTTCCGCATGTGAAGCCTAGCTAGTTACGAGGTTGGACCTTAGCTGGAGCCCAAGAGGCAAAGCCGAAGCAGCAGCGGAGCCCGTCAAGCCAACCTCTGCACTAGCCTCAAACTCTGTCTCGGATTCGCTATCATGGGTCTCGACCTTTGAGTCAAAGCACTTGAGCAAGATCCAGTCCTGGTGAAGCTGACATATATATAGGGATTTAGACTGATCTAGATGCACGAGCACCAGACTTTCGAAACTGGTACGCTATAGTCAAATGACAAGGATCCTTGTTTGTCGCTTGGTCGGGATGATCCTGAACCCACTTGCCAGTCTTGTTGGGGTCAAGCTTCAACTTGTCGTCCAAAATGCTCTGAGCAATAGCTTCCCCGTGCCTGGGTTGAATAATATATTATAATTAGGTTTAACGTTGGGTAAATAGGTTCTAGATCCATCCAAGCCACTCCTGCACTAGCACATGGAACTTCTTCCAAATGTGGGACCCGTGGCGCACACCCTTCTTCTTCGAACGGACATTCATCATGATCGCCGAGTTTTGCCAATCTCCCCCAGATGACAAATACTGTTCGAAAAGATGGCGCGTTGTAGTGGTGCCACTTCAAACTAAATCTTCGGACTGGACCCAAACCACCGAAACCATAAAACAGTATTAACCCTAAACACCTAACCCCACAGAGATCTAGAATAACACTGGCCAAAGCACGAGACTTGCCTGAAACCGTGTCAAAGGCTTTCTCAGCCACCTCCTTCGGGCAGGTCGAGGAACCTGGGCCACAGGGTTGAGCGGATTTTGGGATTCGGGGCTACAGGGTCACGAGCTAGTATACTAGGGTTAATACAATATATAGAGGATTATAATAGAGACCCTCATTTGCCTTCTAAATCCTCGACCCGCGGCTCAATGATATGAAGCCTCGTGTGCCTTCTAAACCATGTAGCCCACATGTCTTAAAAAGGGGTTAGCTCAACCAAGCTTCCGGGACCGAGTGTTGATCGGGTTTTGGGATTTGGGCTACAGGATCATAAGCATACGGCATATATAGGGTTTATGGTGTAGGATACCTCATGTGCCCTCTAAACCCTTGACCCCCATTAGCCAACAGATTTAGCTTCGGGACAGAGGGTTTGTGCGGTTTTGGGATCTGGGGCTACAGGGTCACCAGCATACTAGCGGGTTTAGGCTTGATAATAATTTTATAATTAGCATAGGATAATAATGAAATCCTCACGTGGCTTCTAAACCCTCCACCACCATGTAGGCAACACACATTTTTTAAAAAAGGAGTTGGTTCAATCAAGCTTGGGAACGGAGGCTCCGGTAGAACCGCATGTATGAGTTATGCGCCTCACGCTGCAATCTCTGCTGATCTGTTTCCTGTGACTTCCTTGTGTTGCTGGGTGCCGGGGATTCATTCTCCATTGGCTCAGGGGCTCCGGTGTTCTGGGCTGGCAAAGGACCGGCGTTCTGCTTTGGCTCAGGGGCTCCAGTGTTCTGGGCTGGCAAAGGACTGGCGTTCTGCTTTGGCGCCGGGGCTCCAGTGTTCTGGGCTGGCACCGGACTGGCGTTCTGCTTTGGCTCAGGGGCTCCGGTGTTCTGGGCTGGCAACGAGCTGGCGTTCTGCTTTGGCTCCGGGGCTCCGGTGTTCTGGGCTGGCAACGAGCTGGCGTTCTGCTTTGGCTCAGGGGCTCCGGTGTTCTGGGCTGGCAACGAACTGGCGTTCTGTTTTGGCTCAGGGGCTCTGGTGTTCTGGGATGGCACTGCATCTCCCGTCAAACCATTAGCCTCGGCAAGGACTCGGTCAATGTCGATTGTGCCTGGCCGCCTCAACATGTCTTGGGTGACATTGCTAAGGTTAAGCAGCTTCTCCTCCTTCTCAGCCTCAGGGGCTTTGGCACCCTGGTCAGCCTCGGGGAGGGCAGGAAGAAGGGCGGTCTTGATAGGTTGGGAGGCTTTGCCTACATCAACTTCCACAGGCTCCGCCTCAGGTTGCTCCGCAGCAACTCTTGGCGCTTTGAACCCATCTGCGCTGGTGTTTGGATTCTTTAAGTCCTCTTCGAGGATCTTCTCAAGGTCAATCTCCAGCTGATCCTTTTTGTATGTTTTGTCCTTTTCTGTTGCTGCTGTTGCAGTGGCCTCGCATGTTTCTTGCCCAGGGCCACTTGTGTGAACCTTAATGTTTGCATCTGCGCTTGCTCTTCCCGACTTTGCAGACACCTGCGCTGAAAGCTTCATTTCTGCCTGCTGTCCTTTCGGAAGGGTGAGGTTTGCTTCTGCTGTAGCGTGGCTTTGCTGCTGGGACTGGATGCTTGTGGCCAAGCACTCAAAGCCACAGAACATTGTCTCCCCCTGATCAGCGAGTCAGGATTTAACAGAAAAAAGGATCATAATGCCCTTTCCTCCCTAAACCCTAAACCCTAAACCCGGTTAAGGTACTATTGCAGAATAGTATAATGATGACCACTATTTCTAGCATGTGTAACTTGACAGATTCCAGCAATTCATTGCGCCTTCACGATGATTTCTTTCGGGTTGCAAGCTTTGCCACACATGTAGCATTGCTCCTGAAGCAGCAGTTCCATGGAAGCTCCCTGGATTTCTATAATAATGAGGGCCCTTAAATCAAAATCTCGTTGGGATTACGTACAGCTACTAGGATCCAGGGTGGCAAAAGATAAAACAAACCATTGTAGACAGCAGCATATTCCTTCCCCCTACGCCAGCTGCTTCAAAGCGAGACCTTGAACGTCACATTTAAAGTATTATGACCTTCGCACGGGTAGAAACTAATATATATATATATATCTTACTATATCTTTTTTTTACTAATTATATTATTACTACTACTCCTCCTCCTAGATAACAATGCTTCGAATTCCAAGCGCTTGCAAGACATTTTCGCACGAGCCCTGACCCATGAAGTTCGAAGGATAATACTTTGCACTAACGATTATTGCTATAACCCGACTAATGAACCTTCGCAGAGTCCTTCTCTGGGGTTGAAGGCATCTCCAAAGAGTCGGCAGATCCTGGGCATATAGGTTGGGGTCACGGGTTTCCAACACAATTCATCATAATAAGGTAGATGTAGAAATTAAATCGACATATACCTTTTGCAAACAATCCTGCCAGCTCATGATCAGAGTCTTAGGGACAAGCTGTCCATTCCAAGGACGAGGGTGCTCTGTGTGTCAACGTGGCGCAGATTGCTGCCGCTCTCTGCACTAGGGGGACCGGGTAAGTCTGACCAAGAGTCGAAGGAAGGCATGGGCCTCAACTTATCACTCGAACCTGCCAGCTTTACACGCTTATGATCCGGAGACCTCATAGGAGTGCTCATGGTGCTTTGCACAGACATGGGAGCCGGTGTCTCAACTTTAGCTTTCAGGGCAGGGGTTTTGACCGGTGTCATGTCCATGGCTGCTTGCTTCCCTGGGATCTGGACTGGCTTGGCTGGCGTCTCCTTGGTGGTTGTCTTTCCTGGTGTTGCGGCAGCTTTGGGTTCTGAAGGGCTGGGCTGCTTCCCTGGCGTCTGAACCTTTGCTTTCAAGCGGCTAGGCTGCTTTCTTGCTGGTGTCAGGGCATGCGATTCCGATGGGTTCGCTGGCTTACTTGGGGTCTTGGCTGCGTCAAGTTCCGCAGGCTCAACGAGGGGTCGGGACTTAGCTCGAATCCGGGTTGGGGTGGCCACAGGCTGCTGAGGAGCCAGGCCGTGGGCTGCTTTTGCTTGCTCGACCAAACTCTGCACGCGTGCTGACACTGGAATCGGGCTTTCAGTGCCGCCTCGCTTCCCCATAGCTTCAGCAAGACCGTGAGTGATCCCAACGCAATGTAACTTGATCACAAGACCCTGGTCACAAAGCTACATATGTGCCTCAACCTTGGGAACGACATGATGCAGCAAGTACTTGCATGGGTCACTTTTCCTTGCGCCGGCTTCTTGACACGGCTTTGCATCGAGGTGTCTAGAAAGTGCTCCAGAAATTGCAGGCTTGCAAGCTGAGCTAATGGTGCAATGTGATGGTTTTAAGGGGGGTGGGTGCAGGGGGGAGGGAGTAAAAGAGGGGGGACGGGTTTCAGGCACCAATCCCCAACCACCCTGTGACTTTACATAAATACTTCGACAATTCTCAGTACAAGTAATCCTTCAAACACACCCAGAATTCTTCGAATCCTCCGAAAAAATCCCCAGACAGCCACAACCCTGAAAAACCTTTAAATTTAGCCCGAACCCCAACCCCGATTTCCGAAATCCCGAACAAATGCTCCGAACCCTCTACCCAAACCCCGAAAACCCTCTGACCCGGCGGCTTTCCGACAATGTGCCCCGAACCCCCGGCTCCCCCGAGGACCCAGTGCCCCGAACCCTCTCCCAAACCCGAAAACCCTCCGACCCGGCTCCCGAGAGGGACCCAGACCACCGTTAAAGAGCGTTAAAAAGCGCTAAAAATTGGACCAAATACCGTTTGACAGAAGGTCTCGCGTTAAAAAGCGTTAAACAGCGTTAAATTGCGTTAAATTCCCCCTGCCCACGCCCCGTGCCCCGAAATCCCAGGCCCGTCCCCCTGCCCACGCCCCTTTCCCCGAAATCTCAGCGCCTCGTCCCACGCCCACGCCCTTGCCCCGAACTGTGATTCCTGGAGCACAAACACCCTAATTTGGCAAGCAGGGCAGCCATGCTAATATAGCAGCGTAGCTTTTTTGGCTATTATTCTTCTTAGCGCAATCCCATAAACCCAAAGCCCCAAGTTCATTTGTAATTACATATATAAGATCCCGTACCTTAGCTTGACTAAGAAGTTAAGTTAAAGAATAATTCATCCATCTATGAACAGCAATATCAAGCTACTGGGAACAATGCGCATAGCTGCTCTGAATTGTGGAGCCTTCGGCGCATCGGTTCCCATATGTAACCCTACACCATAAATCATAAGTCCTACACCCCTCTAAAGCCCTAATATAAAGGTATATAGTTTCTAATCCCTATAATATATATAAGTACCCTGTATACAAAAGCTGGGTTTATAGGGTTTCAGGCAGGTCCACGGGCACATGCTTGGATGAAGCAGCTTCGCTCCCCAGATGTTCCAGCTCAAAAAGGCAAACCCTCAATCGGCTTCCAGGTCCCATTCCGGGCCTCGAGAATGAGGAAATCACGCAGCTCGGCTAAGTTGGCCTCGCTCCAGTCGCCTGGACACACCTGGGCATCAGACGATTCTAGCGTGTCAGATTTTGAAAATTGGGCTCAGTAAACGATGCAGGCCAGCAGCTAGGTTGGCCTTCTGAATACCGTTCAAAGTGAGGCCCGGCGGGTCTTTAGCCTCCGTAGCATAATGAATCATATGGGTTCGGGATTTCGTGGGGATTATGCAAAACACCTTCTCCACATCCTCAAGATGTAATGTGGCGATCGCTTTTGCAAAAGCCACAGGGTACTCCTGCGTCTTGCGAAGATGACGAGTTCCAGTCCTTGGTCGAGGAGTTGGGTATTAAGATAATGCAAGGGGGTGGGCACACAGATGAGGAATGTTGGGGAGCCCACACAGCTATCGAACCATCTGCTCGCCGCTTACGTGTCACAATCTTGCCGGCAGCTTCCTTGAATGCTGCCCGTTTCTCTTTGGACATCTTGTTGCGCAACTTGTAGATCCACCTCCTAGCAGCAAGAAAGCAAAACCATCGTGCATGTAGGTGGGATAAACATCCAGACAATAAGACTCCCACGAGCTGCCGAAAGAGTAACTCGGTTTCGCGTTGGTGTGCCCGTACAATCCGAGCCAACTTAGCTTTGCAATCGTTCTCTAGCGACGTGTGGAAGATACAAGGCTATTCAGGTTCAATAAGTTCAGCAAAAGCGCAAGCTGCAGCATTGCCATTGATGCTCGTTGCATGCCGATAAGAGCTTGTCCAGGTGCAGGAAATATGGAATGGACTTCAAGCAGCTTGTTAAGGGCTGTTCTATGGCTGACCAAGCTTCACGAACGGTAGCCAAGCACAAGAGTAAAATTGATCTCGACGTAATAGAATTACACTCTCGGATACCTTGACCGGGGCTGGACTCGTCAGAAAAAAAAGTTCATGATACGTATACCCCTCATTATACGAGGCACGTATCGTAGGCAAGATACACTCCAGCGTGCAATCCCCCCATGGTCGGCCAGGGCCACGTTTGTGAACCGAGCGGCTGATCCATACATATAGGCAGCAAGGATGACCAAGCCAGTAGAGGGCGCCACGCCGAAGTCGTAACACCTTCTTTAAGAGGTGGAGGAAACCAACTGTTGTGGTGATGTCCTGTGCAAGCTTGTCATCATCCCGGTCGTAGGTGCTCCTTATATGATTGGGGCTTCAGGGCCATAGGGGCTGCGCTATAGAATCATGTACCCACATTGTCGCGCTAGATTGCAAGGACTCAGAGTCTTGCCCGCGGGCACCTTGTTCTCCTGCAGCCCCGCTGCGCCCACTATTCCAAAAAACGATTGTGCATGGGGCGCTTGAATGAGCAACTAAGAACCAGGCTAAAGGCTTGACAGATTCGTCCAACCCCACTGAAAGCTTCAAGCACCATCAAGTCCTTTGCCGGAAGCCAAGGCATGGTGGTATGATCATGCAGTCAATCTGGGCTGGATGAGTCTGCGGCTCTGGTGCAAGGGAATTCCCCTGCGTGAGCCACTGTGGCCACATAGTGGCACGCCTGCAACCTCAGACATTATAACCATTATAATTATATATTCAAATATTTAAAGGGAGCATAAAGACACATACCAAATCGATTTAATGGGGTTGGAGCTAGGGTTCAAGGGTCAGGGGCACGGGATTGGCGTGAATTGGGGTGTGATGGCTTGCCTGCAGACAGAAACAACTGCTCCCCCAAGTGGGCCTAGCAACAAGTGGCGGCGGTGGCGGCGGCGGCGGCGGTGGTGGTGGTGGTTGTGGTGGCGGTGGCGGCGGCGGTGGGTGGTGGTGGCGGGTGGCGGTGGGTGGCGGAAGCGCGCAAACCCTTATACGCAATGCGATCATGGGTCACGGTGCCTGTAATGACTGCTCAAAGGGGCCCAGACCGATTTTCCAACATATCCGGGTCCAGACCAAATTTCCAAAATATTTAATTAGGAGTTAGGAATGGTGGCAGTAGCAGCCCTAGTAGTAGTAGTCGTAGTAGT